TCCTTAGCTAATGAGATATTTTGGTAACAACTTTTCACTATACTATCTACCTCCCAATAACTGAGAAAATTGTTTACAACTAATTATTTTTTCTTCTGTGACAGATCAGTAATTTGTTTTATTTTATACTGTTCCTTTCCTTTGTTATACTAAAATATTGTGAAAATTAACATTTCTTTAAAGATAACTTCTATTATTATAAACTAAATACTGTGATATAATTGCAGATGTTTCTATAAATTGAATATTTTTCATGTGTATGTGTATTCATGCATGCATATGTGGCATATTTTTTAGGAAACGTCTTGGCATATCATAATTCTTGTGCTTCAGCCTCTTGAGTAGTTGGGACAATAGTTTTGTGCTTCAGCCTCCTGAGTAATTGGGACAACAGATATGCACCATCCCTCCCAGGTTTTAGGGTGGGCTAGGAGAACTCAGACCTCATTTGTGGCCTCAGCTTGCTGAGTGGTAGCGTCCTGTGAGAGTTACCATGGCTGAGTCCATAAAGCTAATATTATCTTTGTATTTTCTGTATTTATTACTTCAAATTATTACCAAAATATTTAAAAATTTGTTTTAAATATCACATTTGTCCTTTTTAATTTAATTTTTCTAATAATGTTTTGATCTGTGGGTAGATATAAATGAAAACTTTGAGCAAATTAATTTAGTTTTTATCTCTTCATTTGTAGGTCTTCCCAGTGACCTACCAAAACAACTCTTCACCGTCTTTTTTTTTAGCTTAGATTCTAACTTTCATTCTGCCAAACTCCTAGCTCTGGCTATTTCCCAGTAACTCTCTAATCCCTAATCTATGAATTTACCATGTTATGTTTTTGCTTTTTCACTTGCTTACCAAGATTTCCTCCACAACTTAGCAAAAGAGATCATTTGGAGTCGCAGTTATGTATTCCAAGGAGTTTTATTGTATTTTGCTCCCACCCTTCCTCCACTCAAATTGTCCTTGGAATTTCACTGATTAGTGCTTTCAAGCTCGCCTGCCTTAGCTCATGTAGCTCCTCCTCCTCCCCTAGAGGAGAGACTCACATCACTATCATAAAGGCTGTCATTACTCTATCTGTAAGGAGTAGAACAAGAAGAAATCTACTTGATTCAGACACTTTAAAGATTCTTAAAGGATTAAAGATTATTTCTCACCTTTTACAAGCACTTATCTTAGGCAGCATTCGGATAAAAGGTAACGTACAACTACTCTCTGGAGTAGTTTGCTTGTATTTTATAGACCCAAAATTATATATATATATGTATATATATAATTTTTGGGTCTGTATATATATATATAATTTGCAATAAAATTTATTTATAATTAAGTTTCTTTAATTTAATTTCAGTAAAAACAAAATAGTATTAATAGTAAAAGAAAAAACTTGTTTGCTCACAATTTTTAGTTAATATCTGAGAACTGTCAAAAACACCCTACTTATTTCCTTTCTTGAGAATTACAAAGCTATTCATTATATTAACATTTAAACATTATTAGTAGATAAGTATGTATGTATATTATATATATTATATATACATACATATGAACCCTCTAAATGTGTGTGCAAGTATATATACCAGGGGACTCCAAAAACTCTGTGGAAACTGGTATTAAAGTACAAAGTTTTTTTGTTGTAAGTTTTGAAATCCATGCAATTTTTCATAATATGCATTTTCCATGAACTCTTTGGAGACTTCTTTATATGCGTAAGCATTGTATACCAAGTTATGTTTTTATTTGATTAGTGTATGTTTATATATTGTTAGAAGAATGTTTTTACTTTGTGGACTTTTCAAAAACTGAATCACTTCCTTCTTATCAAAAGCATGTTAGTACTTAAGAACAAGGTAAAAATAATTTCCCTTTAAATATTTAAACTACTTGTTCAAAAAATAATCTATTCAAGAATTATTTCTACTCCACCCAATTATTTCAAGAAAAAAGACTAACAACTTAGAAAGATTATTTGATGCAATATTGTTATACATAATATATAATTATTGTGTAAACTTGGTTTGGATTTTATTAATATAGAATTTTTAGGTTCAATCTACTAGATTCTGATTCTGTGCTCTATTTTTATTTTCAAAGCCCTAATATCATCAGTACTTACCTTTCATAATTAAACTTATTTACTAGTGATACAAATAAACCAATTCTTTAGTTTATAAGGTTCATTTCAAATGTCAAAGACTTTATCATTACCCCACAATTCATCTTTAGAAATATCTCAAGTATCATGTTGCTTACAAAAAGCTCCATAAGTATATATCAGATTTCCTTTATGCAAATACTATTTAGCTAAAAGTCTTCCTATCCTGCTCAAATTTATAATCAAGATGATTTTTTTCTTTCTATCTTGAACATTTAAAGTTTACAATATTAGGGACTTTGACACATCCCAGGTAAGGAAGGACCACCTATGTGCTGGGTGAGGGTCCTCCTGGGTTCTTTGGGGTCAGAGGAATCCTGAAGCCATGGATCACCTATGTATGCTTTGAGATACACTTTAGAGTTTTATTTGGGAAGCCCTGAAACTACCCTAAAAGTAGAATATACTATAGAACAGACCTACGGCCAAAGGTGGCAAAGTCTACATAGAATTATGCTTTGTGGTGTTCTGGGGAAAACCTTTGACCTGTTGGCTATACCATTCGGCGTGGCTATATAGCTCACTGTTCTTTCCCATTTGTTGGTGGTGTTGTCATGTGTTGTGGACCATCAATGGAACCTACAATTTAAAATCCAGATAATTGTCTTTGCAGAAAATCTTAGTCGACATGTTTATGGTATCCAAAGAGGAGACACTGTGATTGTAAAAAGCCCAAGTGATCCAAAATCAAACATTTGCAAAAGAATAACTGGTTTGAAAGGAGACAAAATCCATATCACTAGTCTGTCAGGTTTCTTTAAAAGCCATAATTATGTGCCAACAGGTCATGTTTGGTTAGAAGGTGATAATCCCAGAATTCTACAGATTCCAGGTATGGACCTATTCCATATGGACTAAACAGAGGACGAATTTTTTTTAAGATTTGGCCTCTCAGTGATCTCTGCCTTTCTATGTGACAGCCTTAATAGACACATTTTCTGATGATTAGTAAGGATTTATTCTTTTGACTTGATTACTGTTCTCCTTTTCAAGTGAATTGATTACTGACATTGAAACCATGTACTTATCAATAAACTATTTTATTAAAAAATAAAATAAATTTTACTATATTATAATTTACTAAGTTCTTTGTTACCTACAAAGACAGGCATTCATGTAAAAATACTGTAATTTGTACCAGCTAATTAAGTAAAAAAATGTTTCATAATAAATACCTAGATTTTTCTCAAAATCCAGAATATCAAATACTGCATCAGGATATGGAAGTTAAGATTCTAGATATAGTATTTCTTTGTGCTTAATTTCTTCTACCATGACTGGTTTGTACTTGTCACTAGTTTGCTTTCTTTCAGACATATGATTAATGGGGTAGAAATAAGTATGGTAATTTAGAACTGTCTAAGGCAGTACTGCCCAGTAGACGTTTTTGAGTTGAAGAAAGTGTTCTGTCTATTTTGTTCATGGTAGGCTTTGCTACATGTGACTACTGAGCACCTAAAATGTAATACAGCAACTGAGAAACTAAATTTGTATTGTATGTAATCTTAATTCATTCTAATTTATGCAGTGGCTACTATATTGGGCAGTACATGTCTAAGGTATTGAAATCATCAAGTATTATCATTTTCAAATATCTTTAATATGGAGAAAAATGGCTTTTCAACTGCAACAATACAGATCAGTAGACTAGACATAATTAGGAATGACTTTTTTCCTAATAATTTTTTTTCTACCAGCATAAAATGCAATAAAGTCCTATTTTTTAAAAATAATTCAGTATGTCATCCCTTAAGTCTATATATTAAAAAAAGAAACTATTATATATTGCCCCAGCAGCTTTAACAACATGCTAAGAGGGTGTATGTGCATGCCTAACATCCTGACAGAGTGGAGAAATGGAGGAGAGGGGAGTGTGGCAGGGGGTGCTTTCTACTTTTTCCTCTCTCTGTCTCTGATGAGGGTATGCACTTTCTGGCAACCAAAAAGAAGGACAATTGAGCAGTCATTAATTATATATATATATATATTTTTTTTTTTTCCAGAGGGCTCATGTGCTCCCTAGAGAGAGGGAGAGGGAGTGAGATAGTGAAAGGGAGAAAACGAAAGTGAGAAAAACCACCCACCCCAATGGGGAATGGTCATACCACAATGCCTTCTCCATTTCTTTCTTCTTTTGCTCACTGTGTTTCTCAAGCATCCAGGTCCAAAACTCAAATGGCATGACTGGCTATGTGAGATCTAACTCCTGAACCACCATGCCACTGGTTGGCTATATGTACACGGCTATACATACACACATGTATGCAAGCATGCATGCACATGAATACACACACATACACACACAGTCTATATATTCTCCCTCTCTGTATAAAAAAGTAATATTTTATATAATACTCTGTATTTTATGTACAATGTATTCACAATATCTAGTATATAAATTTAAAATTCATATACATATAAATTTTAGAAAGTAAGTAGTTCATTTGTATTCTTCACAAGAAGAGAAATAAGTAGACATTGTGGTATAAAATGAGAAAAGATACTATCAAAATTTCATAGTTATATCTTCCTTCAAGTTGTTAGGTTACAGTGTATGGGGAGAATGAAGCTTCAAATACTGAAAGAATGCATATCAGAAATTAATCAGAAAAAGGATATTCCAGGCATAATGTATATATTTATACATAAACTTAGAAGTATGTTTCATTGACAAATTACATTTTCCTGAGAAGACAATGCATTCATCTGAGCAGTAAGAAAAGGAGAAAATATAATAGTTGAGGACTTTATAAATGAAATAATTTTTAGTTCTGTTCTGATTTCTAAGTCTTTAGGCGATTCCTTCAAATATATACTAGACAAATTAAAGGACTTTTAAACCTGGTTGTTTTGAAGTCTCTCAGCGCTGTAGAAATGTATTCAGATAAATGTTTTTCCATGAGTGCTACTCTGATCCAGGCTCTACCCTAAAAGGAAGAAGAGAGAATTAAATATGATAATAAAAAAGTTAAAGTTAAAAGATACTGTGCCCACTCTGCCATAAAAATATAAGCTTTTATATATGTAAATAATAGCTCATTTGAAATGTACATTTGATAAAGACTAAGAAAAATATTTAAGTAGGTAAAAAGAGGTAAATGATTATATACAGCGTAAGTTCTGTCTCTCCGAAGCTGTATGGCACAGCATGTTACATTTACCTTCTATCTGCTGAAGGGGCAGAATGAAATTGAGGTACTTGAGTTGGCATTTCCTTTGGAATCATATAATGTAATCATAAGTCATAGCTCTACTTTAGTACTCAAAATCAACTTGCTAATTAAAATGAGTCCCCTTATAAAACATGAAGAGAGTCCTCTTAGTAATAAAAATAGTCACTCTAACCCACTTGTTTAAGTGAATCCCTAGTCCTATTTTCCAGTGGGATGTTTTATGCAACTGATAAAGACTCCCAGTTTTATGATTTATCATGCATCCAAATCATAAGTTAGCAAATTTGGTGTCCCTAGAAAATTCTAAAAACGAGTAACAAGTATTTAAATGAGGAAAAACAAACCAATGGCAATAATTAAAAACCTCAGAAGTCAAAAGATATTCTAGCATAGAATCACAGAAACAGACAATTCTTACTAAATGTGAATAATTTGAATTTACTAAAAAGGGGTAACAGTATTCAATAGTAGTGATTAACAAGTCTTTTACTATATAGCATTTCTTATAGACTATTTAGAATAAAAGGATATAAGAGATCATATTTGTGATGAGAATTTTATAATTCGGTTACTTCCATTTTCATTCAAAAGAAAATTTCATTAAGCTTGAGTACACAAGTCAAAACACTGCAAAGGCAGTTGTAATAAAGACAACACAAATAAATATACATGATGGTCAGCTACCAGTGAGGAAAAAAATGTCTTTAGAGATGTCTATAATTCTCTTGAATTCACTAAAATCGAAGTATAAAAGGAGTTCAGGCAGTGGTAAAACCCCATTAGGTTAGAAGCAGCAGTTCTGCTGGGGAAAACAATGAATGAGATGGGTGTAGTCAGCAAGAGGTCAACTTGCCCTACCAAGCTCACATCAACTTTTAGTTTGGCCTGTGATTAGTCCACTGTTCCTTCTAAGAAAGCCGAGGGGAACCTACCATTGTCTGTGACAGACTGGAACAGAAGGGCAAGAAACCTTCTGGCTAGTAGTCTGAAGATTTTCTCTTGAAAAAAAGACATAGAAACTAGCAGAAACATTTTGAATCAAAAGGCTGCAATTTCACTAATACAGAAGCAGGGCAAGTTGATCTCCAGAGAAAATTAGGCACAGGAGGCAGTGTTATTGCTAGATAAGGAACGTGGGGAAAGTCCTGCTTCCTGATTTCTTATTTTCAGTCCATAGAACACTGGGCTGCACTTTGTTTCCTGTCCTTGGATGTGTGTTGAATTCTCTGTTATATTGTAATAATGTGCTAATTTTAAGTTTCTTTCCTTTCAACACAAGAACTTTTCCTAGAACAGAAGATAAGCATATTTATACATGTTGTTGGGACAGAAAGTGGGTAAGCTGAAAACCAGATTAAAGAATTTAGATTTTTATCAGTTGATAAAGGTGAACCACTAAAGGTTTTTGAAAAGAATAAAAAGTCAACATGTCTTAAGAATGTAATTAATATGCTCCAGGCTCTGTTTTAAGATACATTAAGATAGATTATGTGCCCAAGATTTGTGTTAGGTTACAGTACTATCCCTACTTGACTATATGCAGAAACAAAAAATAGACACAATTAGAAGAATGAAAACTCATCTTCCCACCATCATACTGACTAACCTAACTGCATTAATAGCATGCAGTCTACTTTCCTTCTTAAGGATAAGTTGTCATCATTTGAGAGAGTGAAAAGAGAAATCAGAGAGGGCAAAGACACACACATACACACCCCTAACAAAAACACTCTCAGCCATTAAAATACAAAGAATTATTTGAAATCCATAAATGAAATAAAGCATAATTTAAAAATGACTTGTAAGGGAAAGATTTTTAACTACAGTCTATTTATTTAGTAGATATTAGAATATTCAGATGTTCTCTTTTATGTTAGTTTTGGTAAGTGATAAATTTAAAGAACTTGTCCATTTAATCTAAATTTTCAAGTTCACAGGTGTGAAATGATAATATCCTCTTTTAGGATTTTTAATGTTTACAGGACATAGGGTTTGGCCTCTTCGTTATTCCTGATATTGATAATTTATCTCTTTTGTTCTTGAATAGTCTTGGTAGAAGCTTATTAATTCATCTTCTTTAAAACACCAACTTTTCATTTTGTTTTCCTCTAGTGTAAATTTGTTCAGTTTTATTGAAGTTTTGCTTCTTTCTTTCTACTTTTAGTTTATTGTCTTTAATAGTTTCTTTAGGTGAAAGCTTTGATCACTGATTGCCAGCCTCTGCTATTTTTTTTAATAGACAAAAGCCTATTTAGGCCTTTTTTCCTCTATGTACAAGTTTACATATGTTTATTAACATTACTTTCCAGATAGTTTTCTATTTTGATTGAGATTATTCCTCCATTCAGGGATTATTTAGAAGTCCTTTGCAAGTTCACTCGAACATTTTGTTGTGGATGATTCTAGCTTAATTCTACTGTGGCTAGAGAACATACTTTATATGATTCTCTAAAACTAATTGAGATTAATTAGGGCTCAGTAAATAATCAATTTTGCAAAAGTCCTATATGTGTTTGTTAAATATATATATATATATATATATATATATAGCAGTTTTATCTTCTGATTTTAAAAATATATCCCAGTTATCTGGTATTAGTCATTTTTATTTTCTTGAACCAATTATAATTACTTAAAAATCCGTAATCTGCATCACCTTTAAGTCCGTTTCAATTTTTCTTTCTTAATTTGTCATTTGATCTTGTTCTTGATAAGCCTGATAATTTTTTATTGAATACTACATCTTGAGTATGAAAATTTGATTTCGCAGAGAGATAAAGTACTAGAAAATCACTTTGCACATTTATAAAGGATACCATATTTAGATCTTTTTGGTTTGATCTTCTAAATTTTCCCTAAAGTATGACAGTTCTTCAAAAAGTTCACAGAAAATGGACTATAACTTCCGTGGAGTTTCTGATGAAATTCTGGAGTATTTACAGGGCCCTTCAACTTCTTTGCCCTTGAACTCTGACCTGTGTCTCTCTAGAACTAGATGGAAGACTTTTCATCTGCGTTTTAACTCTTACCTGCTGATTCTAGCTTAGTTTGTGTGACTTTTGCTCTGGGTTATGGAGGACTAAGAGTTGACAGCCACCTCACTGGAAAACTGCATGCAGCTTCAGGCACATTTATCTGCAGTGCTCTCCTCCCAATCCTGGCTTCCACTAGCAGTTCTAAGCTACAACTTCCGCTTCTCAAGCTCAGGGAAATGAAAACATCCCCCACTTCCACTACTTTGGACCTAGTCTCTCTGTCTATGACGTGAATAGATAAATGACCTAGGCCAGGATGAATACGGGGGCTCACCTCTTGTACCATCCTTTACTCCAGGACTGGGGCCATTCCAATTCTCATGTCTTGGTTGTTCTCTCATGCCTTAAATTTGCTACTTTATTCAAACTTTATAGTTGTTCTTGGCAGATGAGTCCCTTTGATATAAACTATTCTCTTTCATCACCTTTAGGATCATCACTTTTTTTGATTCCAATGCCCTTTTAATTATACTGTCTATCTCCATTCCTCCCCACACCATTTCTCCAAATGGCATGGAGTTGATCTTCTGAAAAATGTAAATCAGATTACATATTCGACTGCTTTGAAAATAAAAATAGAAGGCCAGCCCCGTATGACACTGGTTAAAAACTGTGCGTTGGTAGCCAAATCCAACATGGCTGACAGTGCTTTGAGTCCTGGCCCTGGCAGCTTGAAAAACATGCTGGGTGCTGCATGCCCAGAATCATGATAGGAGAGAGAAATGGAGGGAAAATGATTGTGGAGTGATCACGTGACGTGCCATTGAGGCTTTACATTTCTCTCTCTCTCTGGAAAGTGCACACACCCTGTGCCAATAAAATAAATAAACATTTACAAAAAATGAAAAATAGAGACTTTCAAGTTGCTTCCCTATTGTATTGTCAATGACTTCTAAGCTTCTAATTATAAACATATCTTCTTTGATACCTTGCACACTCTAGTACTTGCACAGGACTTTTCTTTCATTAAAGTTTTGACTCAAAAAATGTTTTAACTATGTTTCTTTTTTTTATATAATTAATTTTATTTATTTATGTATTCATTCATTTATTACTTAATTTGACCAGAGAGAGACAGAGGGTGAGAGTGAGAGAGAAAGGAAGTGAGAAAGCAAGCCACCAGATTCAGGACTCAAACCCTGGTTGGCCATGTGGGAGTGTTCAGTGCCTTAACCACCACGCCACCTGCTGGTCACAAAATGTTTTAACTATGTTTCTAATTATATCTCTACATTTAAACATTATACAACTTTTAAAAAACTTACATATTCAGTTCAAGTTAACAAAATATTTTATTTATTTTGGACATATTTTTGTCAATTTTGTTTAAAAAAAAATTTCTCCAAAAGGAACAATATTTCTAAAGAAAGGATAAAGAAACAAAGAACTTGGAAACTAAATCTTTGTAAGATTAAAAAAAAAAAAACCTTACTTTTTGGGGACTAGCAGATGTCATGGCAGTTACATCGCTAGACTCCCATGCAGTCGACCACAGTTTGAGTCCCAGACCCAGTGGCTTAAAACTCACATTGGGTGTGTATGCATACGTGCCCAAAGTCCAGAGAGGAGAAGGGATTATGGCATGGCCATCTCCACTGGGGGCTAAGTTCTCGCTTTCTGTCTCTCTGGCGTACATGCATCCTATAGCAAAAATCTTTCTCAAAAACAAAAACCTTACTTTTTGAAACTATGCTTTGGTTATTACAGACATGTAAGTTTTAATAATTGTGAAATAATTATATCTTGATCTTAAAACTATAGCTATCTGGGGACCAGCAGTTAGCGTAATGGCTATGTCGCTGGACTCCCATGTAGTTGACTGCAGTTCGAGTCCCGGACCCAGTGGCTTAAACTCATGCTGGGCGCTTGTGCATGTGTGCCCAGGATCCTGAGAGAATGAAGGAGAAGGGATTGTGGTGTGGCCATCCCCTCTGGGGGGTGATTTCTCGCTTTCTGTCTCCCTGTCTCTCTCTTTCTGGCAAGCGCACAGGACCTATAGCAAAAAAAACAAAACAAAACAAAACAAAAAACTCTCCAAAAAAAGAAAAAAATAACTATAGCTATCTGGTTTTTGATCTTTATTTTCTACTTATTAATTTGTAATTCTTAAGGGTCAAAAATAGTAAAGACAGTTGTTATGACAATCCAATAAGATAAGTAAATAAAATTCCTAACTGAAAGCTGACACAGCTTAAATCAGCAATTCAGGCTTTCTACAGCCTTAAAAATGATCAAGGAACTCACAGGGTTTTATGTAGGTTATACCTATCTATATTTACTATGTTACAAGTCAAAACTGGAAACTTAAAAGTATTAGGTAATTCAGAGTAATAAAAAGGCTAGCCAAAGTAGCATATGCTGGTTGACATTGCTACTTGACAGGCTGAGGCCACATGGGAGGCCAGGATTCGATTCCCAGCCCACCTTAAAAGCTAGTATTTAATCAAAAGCTTTAATTTTACCATCAGCAACAAATACTGTCATCTGTTTCCTTGAAGTAATAGACTCACCTCTTTTGTTTTTTTTTTTCTCTTCAAGAAAATGTCTGCCAAATGTTTAAGTTTAAAACATTACAGTTTGTGGGACCAGCAGTTAGTGTAATGGCTATGTCGCTGGACTCCCACGTAGTCGACCGCGGTTTACATCCCGGACCCGGTGGCTTAAAACTCAAGTCGGGCGCATATGCGTGCATGCCCAAGATCCTGAGAGGAGCATGGAGGCGAAGGAATTGCGGTGTGGCCATCCCCCCTGGGGGGTGATTTCTCCCTTTCTGTTTCTCTGTCTCTCTCTGTCTGTCTGGCGAGCTCACGCACCCTATAGCAAAAAAACCTCTCCAAAAAGGGAAAAAAAAATTAGTTTGTAACTTTTTCTTTCCAGTAAAATAGCACTGCAAGATAAAGTGTCTAGTTAAGCTTATAATTCAATCACACAACTGTTTTTTTTTTAAAGGCAACCACCATATTTCCATACTTCACAGAAATGCTTTATGCATACTTCCCAGTCACTCAGGTATTAGACAAGTTTTCAAAGGTGAAATTAATATTTACTGCACCATCCTGGACATTCTTAAATGAAACTCTTGTACAATTTGAGGCCACTGCCTTAATTCATGGTAAGGCCACCAGCAGTTTTACCTACCCTTGCTTTTGCATTGGCAGTACAAATGACAATACCTGAAAAGGCAAATAACACCTTAGCATTACAGGAAAATAGTTTTAACTATTATTAACCCTTTAAAGAAAGGGTCTTAGACACTCCCAAGTTTCTGCAGGACATTGACAGTCATTTGCTAGACAACTAAAGAAATGTGGAAACATTATAGAACAGGAAATATTTTATTTTTGCTTCTTTAAAAAAGGAAATTCATAGGAAGTAGCTGCATGTCTTCTTGCTATTCAAAATACAACAGTGAAGACTCGAGAACATCCTAAAATAACTACATGCAATGAGAAAAAATGGAAATGAGCCTCTGAAAAATGTTGAATTTGATCAGGTACTCAATCCCAATGAAGAAAAGAAAACATACATCTTACATAGAAAAGAGCTCAAATGTTTTCTATTTGGGTCATAATTGCTTAGAACTAGATTATACACATTGCATATTATCAATATCTTACCTTAGCTCTAGAAGAACTGACATTTTCCATATTTTCAATGCTGCAGATACAATTCTGTGAAACTTTGCGGCAAGCCACTCTGATATAGTCCCAGAAGCTGCGAGGACTTTCATAGCCAAACCAGGTTACTTGACCTTCAGGAGAAAAATTTCAATACAAAATAAAAGAAAACTAGTCTAGAAAATTCATAAAGAACAATAATATTCTGAAAACTATAAAGGGCAAAATTGTACGCTTTCATGGAAAGATTACTGATCTAGTGGCGAAAGTCTTAAATACAGTCTAATACTACCTTTACAATTTGTGTTTCTTTGGGAAATTTTCTTAATGACTCTGGATCATAGTTTTCTCAACAGTAAAATCAAACTAAATGTAATAAAAAAGAACCAAACACAAATATCTTGCAGCTTAATATTCTATTATCGTAGGTAGTCTTTCAGGTAGTACACTTGTGATTCTAGTTAAGTAGTAATTAAAATGTCAGCAGTTAAAATTCTAAATCTTTTTCTACTTAGAAAAAATGGGAACAAATGATATCACATTTTTTCTTTTCTTCATAAAAATACTTCAAAAAAATCAGTAATAAATGGTCTATCCTGTAAGTAATTAATGTCAATGAGCATACTGTAGTCACTGATTATTCATAATTTTCTACCCAACCTTTCTTGTCTATAAAATTCCCCTCTCCTGTCATTGATCTGCTCTCATCTCATCATCAACCCATGAAAATCTCTTCAGATATCTACCAATATAACCATTTACATTTGGGTAACTATTTGTTCATGATCAAATACTCTATTGTATGTATTTTATATTAGTATTAAAATTTTTATTCAGGACTCTGAGTATTTGAGACACATTTTGTACAGTTAGTATTTTTTTTTAATTTTTACCAGAGGGCATGTGCATTCAGCAGAGAGAGAGCGAGCGAGCGAGAGCGAGAAAGTGAGAAAGCACCTCCCACGGAGGATAGGGAAGATGGTCGCACTATAATCTCTTCTACTCCACCTCTCCCATTTCTCAGGATTTGGAGCATAACCAAATAAGTCCTTGGCATGTTTTTCAAGCCAATACATCTGGAACTTGAATGGTACAGTTGGTCATGTGGCATTCAACTGCGGTAACCACCACACCACTAGCTGGTCCACATGCTTAGTATTTTTAAATGGAATATGATAGTTTTCTTCTTTCACTTTTTTATAAATTTCTAGAAGGCTCATACACTTGCCAGAGACAGAGAGAGAGAGAGAAAGAGAAACCCCAGTGGGGTGTGATCATGCCACAATCCCTTTTCTTCCATCCCATCAGTTTTAGGTACACATGCACATGTGCCTGGTGTGTGTTTCAACTCACTGGAGCTAGAATTTGAACCATGGTTGGCCACATGGGATCTGGCTTCCAACAGAAAGGGCTTAACTGCTGTGCTACAGGGCTGGCCCAAGAGATATCTAATACTTCAGCTGTCTGGAATAGTTAGTCTTACTTAGGGAAATTGTTTAATACATACATTTATCTTTTTAGAGAAAGATTTATAGGGTACATGTACTTGCTGGAGAGACAGAGAGAGACAAATAGACAGAAAGCTAGAAATACCTCCTGGAGGGGTGGCCACACCACAATCCCTTCTCGTTCACTCTCCTCTCAGGATTTTGAGCACGCACACACTGGCACCTGGTGTGAATTTCATACCACCAAGTCTGGGACTCAAAACACAATCATGTGGGAGTCCAGCCATGCAATCATTATGCCATCTGCTGGTCCCAAAATTATTTAATTGTTTAAATGTGGAAAGATTTGCTTCTTTATTTTAAAATGCATGCTGATTCACTGCAACTACTTTTTTTCCTTTTTTTTTTTTTTTTAATCTCAAATATCCTCTTCCCTAGTCATAACATCTCCCTAGCAACATCAAGTGTTCTTGGCCCAGCTTAGGAGGCAGTCTGAAGCGTACTGGACTGCAGTGCTGGAGGGTACCTGGCTAGCCATGGGTTCAGTCAGTTTGAAATACTGGATACACATGCAGGCACCAAAGATCTTGAGAAGAGCTGTGAGGCTGGGAAACAAGGATCGTAGCATGTCAAGACCCTGTTGAGAGCGTTTCCATTTTCTTTCTCTCACTCATGCACATGTGCTCTCTATTATAAAGAAATAAAATTAAAGTGTCTTTATCAGCAAGTACCATTCTGAGTACTATTTGAGATGGCATTTGCATGGTTCCCAACTATAACAACACATTAGAATGACTAGACTGCTTTCTAAAAATACTCATGCCTGGGGGCCAGCAAGTGGCATAGTGCTTAAGGCACTGAATTCCCACATGGCTGACCATGGTTTAAATCCCAGACCTGGTAGCTTGAAAATCACACTTGTTCCGTGTGTGTACATGCCCAAAATCCCAGAAGGAGAATGGAGGAGAATGGATTGTCATGACTATCCCTCCAGGGGGTTGATTTTCACTTTCCCTTTCAGTCTCTCTTGGCCTCACTCTTTTCTAGTGAACATACGCACTCTATTCACAAAACTTAAAACAAACAAATAAACAAAACAACAACAACAAGAAAAACAAAAACCTTATGCCTGACTCCCCTCAAAACTGAATACTCAAAATCTTTAGAGGAGACCCTAGATGTTGATTTTTTTTTTATAAAAGTCACAATGGTCTTCTCAGGATATATTTATAGTTAATAAACCAATAAAAATACTGCAAAAACAATAGGTAAGTTTTAAAAGAATATATTTTAGTTTATTATTATTATTATTTAATTCTCCAGAGAGAGGGAAAGTGAGAAAGCAAGCCACCATGTCCAGGATTCAAACTGCGGTCGGCCATGTGGGAGTGTCCAGCACCTTAACCACCATGCCACCTGCTGGCCTCAGATAACAGGTAATTCTTATTTTCCGTATAGTTAGTTCTGCTGTTGGCATCACTCCCTGTGCTTACTTGCTCTTTTGCTTACTTGGCTGTCTCACATTTGAAGTGGTAAGATCACTAACTCGGGGATTATGTCTTATTTGTCTTTGGTTCAATCTTCAGCACTTCACAGTGGCAGTGGCGCACAGTAGGCATTCAATAAATATTTGTTGAACAAATGAACTGGTAAGTCAGCACGAAACAGATTATCTTAATTGCAATGAACATAAAAACTGGAGTTCTGGAACCAGATGGTGGTACAGTGGTAAAGTGATGCTCTGCAGGCTGATACTCATGGGAGGTTCTAGGTTTGTGTCCAGGGACCTCTCTAAGACCTCCTTGAGTGCATGTGTGCCATGATTCAGTGCTGGCTAGGGTTGTGGACTGCAGAGTTAAACCCTGTTGGGGTGCTGTATGTGTCTTTCTCACTCTCTCACTGAAGAAATAAATACATAAGCCACCATGTCCAGGATTCAAACTGCGGTCGGCCATGTGGGAGTGTCCAGCACCTTAACCACCATGCCACCTGCTGGCCTCAGATAACAGGTAATTCTTATTTTCCGTATAGTTAGTTCTGCTGTTGGCATCACTCCCTGTGCTTACTTGCTCTTTTGCTTACTTGGCTGTCTCACATTTGAAGTGGTAAGATCACTAACTCGGGGATTATGTCTTATTTGTCTTTGGTTCAATCTTCAGCACTTCACAGTGGCAGTGGCGCACAGTAGGCATTCAATAAATATTTGTTGAACAAATGAACTGGTAAGTCAGCACGAAACAGATTATCTTAATTGCAATGAACATAAAAACTGGAGTTCTGGAACCAGATGGTGGTACAGTGGTAAAGTGATGCTCTGCAGGCTGATACTCATGGGAGGTTCTAGGTTTGTGTCCAGGGACCTCTCTAAGACCTCCTTGAGTGCATGTGTGCCATGATTCAGTGCTGGCTAGGGTTGTGGACTGCAGAGTTAAACCCTGTTGGGGTGCTGTATGTGTCTTTCTCACTCTCTCACTGAAGAAATAAATACATAAGCTTAAAACACCTTGAACTTTTGAAAACCTAATTGGTATCTTTGTATAGTAATAGTCTTGATGACAATCTGGTATTAAGTTATCTGCAGCCTAGATTACAAATATCAAATATATTTACCTTTATCTAATTAAAGAAAAATACAAAAGCACCTATAAATCCTTATCTAAATAACTATATAATTCAACATCTCTTTAAAAATCATATTTTAAGTACCCATAAACAGAACTACAGGAATATTTATATCTTCTTTCTCTGTTAATCTCTGCCATTACTGTCCTTTGAGTCATTTTTCTTTGTGTTAATCAGGTTTCTAGTATAATACTTCAATACAGTTTATAGGACACTTTTCATGTCATCAATTTCTTGACCATTTGGAGGAGAGGCAGGATCCTTGGTAGTCAAAAACACAGGCTTCTGGGTCAGATAGGCTTGAATTAAATCCCTTCCTAGTTATGTGATCTTGAGCAAATGACTCGAGTTCACTCTAAGCCTGAGCCTCGTCTGTAAATTGACTACAATGATAGCATAATACTTACTTGATAGCACTGATGTGAAGGTTTGATGAGATCGTGTATGTGCAGCAAGTATCATAGAGCCTAGGGACAAGCAGGTGGCATGGAGGTTAAGGCGCTGGACACTCCCACATGGTTTACCATGGTTCAAGTCCTGGACCTGGTAGCTTGCTTTCTTGTTCACTCTCTCTCTCTCTGGTCAAATTAAAATAAATGAATGAATAAATGAAATTTAAAAACAGAATCATAGAGCCTAGTCCATATTAAATACAAATTACTACTGTTATTACATCTATGTTTTTAAGAGAATCAAACTCCCCTCACAACAAAACACAAAGTCAGACTGAGTTGTGAAGTTTCTTCCAATATTTACTTAGAATCTAGAGAAATCTTGAAAATTTACTCCCTAACCCAACCTTTTCCCATATCAATGATTCTAAATTTACCTCTTCAAAATGTTTGTAGTCTCAATGGACTTTTCTTGCCTTCTATTATGTGGGATCATGCTCTAACTTCAAAATGAGAGATTTAGCTGCCAGAATTCCCTCAAGAAATAGAGTACAACACACTGGTAAGGATCTTAAGTAATGAGAGTATCACAAAGATTCTCTGGTGACTTTAACTCTCTCTAAAAAGACAGTATGGGAAACAGCAGGAGGAGAAATGGGCAAAGAAAAAGGA